TGCTTCGCCGCCGCCATCAGCGCCTGCGAGAAGGGACAGCGGTGGCAGCATGCTATCTGTTCGTTTTCTGAAATGAAAGCTTGCCGGGTTGAACCGGCTGTCGTGGCCTGCAACGCGCTAATCAGCGCTCTGGAGAAGTGTAGCTGCTGGCAGCGTGCACTATCTTCACTCATCTCGGTCGGAATTAACGCAGACATCGTCACCTTCAATGCCGTGGCTTCACCCGAAGTTATGTAAGGCACATGCTCGCGCGAGCCGCTCTCAGCTCTGCACCTCTGAGGCCCTGGGCGCCTGCGCCAAGGCTCAGGCTTGGCCCTTTGCCTTGGAGCTTTTCGGCGACATGTCGGCTTCAAAACTACAGCCCGACGCCGTGAGCCGTGCGCTGAGAGATTTTGGTCGGTTCCTGTCACGATGTCCGCCAGCAGTGGCCGAGGCTACAACGTTGTGATCGGGGCATGCGAGCGATCCAGCCAGTGGGAAGCAGCAGCTTGGATGCTCAACTTGCCGCAGGGTCCACGGGTTCACTCCGGACGCATCTTCTCAGGTGTTGGCCCTTCTGCGTGAAGAGTCGAGTACCTTCGGCAAGCTTGTGGCGGACCTGTGCTTCCAGTCTGCACATACCACTGCCGTCGGTGACAGTTAACAGATTGAAGTGAAAAGAGACTGGTTCTGCAAGGCACCCCGAACTCCGGCACTTTTATCACCCGTCTGTTGGATTTGGAGTCCAAGAGCAACAGCGACCTCTGTCACCTCGTCTGGCGCTTTGCGAAGCTCGCCCAAGCAGCGCTCTTTGATGTCGACATTCGTTGTATCACGAGGGCAGCTACGACAGTGCTGACAGTGGCCGTGAATCGGGATCTGCACTTGTCAGAGATCAGCACATACCTGCGCCTTGGCTTGGCTTCATGGAGGGTCATGGCGTCTGCAATCGTAGCGCAGCTTGCCAAGCGCCGCAGGTGGTCCTTAGCAGTGCTCGGCGTGAACGGCCCAGGGGTTCGAAGGTTGATGTTGCAGCTGAGAAAGAGGCTCGTCCTTACACCCTCATCTCATGGTTCTGAGCTGCAGCCTGGCGCAGGCTTGCTGCGGGCCAAGAAAAGTTATTGCCCCTGAGCTTGCTGGCCAACATCATATGGGCGGTGGCAATGATGAAGGACCTGGAGCTTCTTGTCCTGCAGAAGGAGATGGTTGCACGGTCCAAGATGGACTTTTGGCAGACCCTGGATTTTGCCTCTGCTGCACTGGAAGTCTTGTGGGCATCTGCCTTTGTCCAGCGGCTGCCCGTTCAAGTCGAAAACAGCCTAAGCGAGTCCGTAAGAAGAATAGCTGGCGAACTTGACCGGCGGCCATCACCAGCCCTCTCCTCTCCTGCGACTTCTTCCGGCCCTCAGAAAGACAGAGAGTCGGAGTCTCCTCGCATTCTGCGATGCTACTCCGACCGAGTTGTCGTGTACAAGCCGCCGGGCTGGCAGGCCAGGGGCCAAGGGGGCCAGGGCCCCGTCCCTTCCCCCCTTCCCCCTCCTTTCGGAAATGTCCCTAAACCCATTCGGAGGTGGATGATGCTTTGGCAGAGAGGCGTTTGCCACTCTCCTCTTGGCTACACAGGGCCCTTGCTGGGCAACAGAATCTTTTGGAGGACCTTCAGCATCGGCGAGGCTTTATCCACCGCCTCGACGTCCCGACATCTGGGCTTCTTCTTGTGGCAACAAGCTATGCTGCGTACTACGACATGCAGCTCCAGCTTATGGCTCGAAGGATGACGAGACAGTACCTCGTGCTCTGCCACGGCTGGCTTGGAGCGCGAACCAAGATCGAGGCCCGGATCCACTCCCTCGAGGCGGGAAGCTGAAAGGAAAGTCAAAGTCGTTGCAGAGCCGCGATCCAAGCTTGTAGCGAGGACGGGCCCAGCTGGTATCGGTCCAGCCGGATTTCCAGCGTCGGCGGACGGCCGTCCGCGACCCTTCTCGAACCGGTCGCCTATGCAACGATGGATGAGAAAGCTTTCACCCTGACAGACTTTCAGATTGTTACAGGCAGAAGACACCAGATTCGAGTCCACACGGCCCATTGCGGATACCCCACGATGAGCGACGCCAGATACACCGCTGAAGCAACCTTCAAGGACAGGGCTTCTCCTGCAGAGTGCGAACATGCCTAAATAAACCTGGGCTGCAAGGACGACTCGTCTCGATGCCCCCGAAACTTTCTGCATCGATACCGCTTGAAGTTTGAGGTGGCAGACATGGCAGCACAGATGAGGTACCAAGAGGTGGGGCTTCTGTTGGTTCCTGGTTTCTCGACGAGAGTACGCATCGATGCCAGGTTGAGGAGCAACTCCCGCAAGACCTTGCGAACATCCTGGACTTGCTTGTGCCAGTTTCTGCGGCTTCTGCTCAAGGGATCCGAAGATCCCGTCCATAGGAACGCTGCGTGCCGTGCTGTCCTCTTGCCACATGCCCATGCAAGCAGAGGCATGCAACGAAGCACTCGGCAGTCTGCTTAGCATGCCTGCAGAATTTGTTGCTGCAGCGCCACCCACGTGCACGACTGTAAACTACCACCCATCTCTGACGTAGAGGTGTGGATGATTTCGGCCCTTTTCTGCCAGATGATTTCTGCCGCCTCCTGCACATCTATGCTCGATGCTGTGTGAATCGGCAAGTGGCTTGAAAAGTCGCGCTTGCAATGTGATTCGAAGACACTGTGCCCACAGGTCAAGCATATTGCAGAGGCCATCTCGGCCTCAGCGACATGACAGTCGATGGTGCGAAAATACGACATAGCCCTTGCACTGAGTTCGACAGTCTGGCCCTTGCCCCTAAAGCACTGGCCGACAGCTAACTCTCTGATTCCTCGCCAACGAGGCCTGTTGCGGCTGTAGCTGTAATCCAGGCCTCTAGAATCTAGAACACTGATGAAGCAACGTCCCTGCAAGACTTTTTACACATGTCTTCCTTTTCCAGCTCCATGGCGCTCGGCAATTCATGGGGTGCCAGGCACCACGACGGAGAGTTTGGCAGCTGAAGCACCGTTGGGGCGCTCGGAACCGCCAAACTTGTGCTAGTGACTGCTAGTGAAGAACTCATCGACACATGTCACATGTTATACTTTGTGGGTCAGTAGAGATCTTCCGGCAGGCGTTCCTGCCTCGGGGATACCTTCAAAAGCATTCAAGAGTGCAGAGCGTCCGGAGGTCAATGTCATTCGCTGCAATGCGCGCATCTCGTCGCTCCGGGGCAGACGCTGGAGAGAGGGCTTGGAGCTCTGGGCCTCATTGCCGCAGCAGGAGCTTCGGCCAGACACTTGGAGCCTCAACGCCGCGCTCGCTTGCGCCGCCAGCTCCTCCGCCACCTCCGGCAGCTCCGGCAGCTCCTGCTGGGCGGTGGTGTCGGCGCTGCTGGCGGTCGGGTCCATCGGCGCAGATACCGTCAGCTTCAATCTCCTCCTCACCAGACTTGCAGATGCCCACGCGTGGACAGCATCGATGGCGGTGTTGGCCTTGCTGCCCTCTGCGATGCTGCGTCCGCAGGCAGCGAGCCTGGGACCTTGCATCAGCGCCAGTTCACGAGCAAGGCGATGGCAGCAGGCAGCTCAAGTCCTTCATGTCTTTCGCTTTCAGGATTCCAGCTTGGTCGACCTGGGTGCATGCAACGCAGCCTTGGCCGGGTGTGCTGGAGCAGGGCGATGGCAGCAGGCCTTCTGCGAGTTGGAAGCTCTCCTCAGCCGCGCTCTGCAGCCTGATGCTGTGACCTTCAACTCTTGCTTCAATGCCTGCGAGACCGCTCGTGTCGGGCAACGAGCCTTGCAGCTGATGCAGCGCATGGGCATTCTTGGAATCCGACCAACTGCCATCAGCATTAACACAATAGTCAGTGCCTGCATGAAGGTGAGTGAGTGGGAGACCGCACTCGGACTGCTGGCTGAGCTGCCAGAGATGGGTCTCCTGCCAGACATCATTAGCTACAACGCTGCAATCGGCGCGTGCTCCGAGAACTGGCAGCAGGCCATCGCGCTCTTCCAGAATCTGCTTTCAACGCGACTGTGTCCCGACCAGGTGACGCTGGGTGCTTTAGTAGCCGCATGTGCGAATGCTGAGCAGCTTCCTACGATCGAGACACTCTTGGAACACGTGCAGAAACTGTGCTTGGAGGAGAATCTGGTAATCTGCAACAGCTGCCTCAAGGCTTGCGACAAGGCAGAGGCGTGGCAATCCTCTCTCATCTTCCTCGAACGAATGACTTGTCTCGCTATCCAGAAAGATCTGCTCAGCTACGGCTCGGCGATGCGGGCGTGCCAGAGAGCTTTGCACTGGCAATTGGCGTGCCACCTCTTCAGTCAAAGTGGTTCGAGCAACATCGTGCAGGATGCTTTCAGCTATGAAACAGCGACCACTGCCTATGCTGCAGCCGGTAGGGCCTTGCAGACCGTAGCCTTGCTGTGGGGCCTCTCCAATGTCCTCCGACTGCAAAGCCTCAGCGAGAGGTCGCAAACGACGCCTTAAAGGTTTTACGACTCCGATCACGGGCTACATGATTGCATATGATTGCCTTCGTATGAGCCTTCCTCCGTTGTGGCATGCAGCCCTTCACAGACACTCAGAATCCTAACAGTCTCTGTAGCGGGCTCTCTTGCAGTTTCTCAAGCCTTCAGGTTCGGGGTAGCGCGGTGAATACTCTTTCTGCAGATGGTGCTTTTCTTACCAGGCGGCCGTCTTGCATCGTCTTAACACGAGTACGGACGATTACGGACACCGGCACTCTGCCAACGGAGCTCTTCGCCTTCTGATGAAAATCGTTTGCAAGTCACTGCCTCCGCATGTATAGGCTCGAGGTCGTAGACGCTTGAAGCATCAGCATGGGAGCCATTTTTGACGAGACTCTCGGCCTCGGCGTTCCCGCGTAAGCTCGGGCGCACGAAGGCTCTGTCACAGCAGAACGACGTGGTCGGAACAAACCTTCTCAACACAGGCCGAAGTCCTTCTTGCGCGACGTGGCTTCTCGCTGACTGTGTGTTGGCAGGAACTTCCTCTGAGAAATGCAGTGTCTTGTCGGCTGTACACGCCTCGCCTGGCGACATCCGTGCTCACGGGCCTCGCGCAAAGAAAGCAAGCGAAGGCGGCGTGATGCACCATATCTCTTGCCGGGGCCTCCCACCCTTTCTGAATGAATCAGGCTGCCGGACACATCTTGCGCTGGATGTTCCTTGTCTGCCTTGGTTGCTGCAGTTGTCTTGTGGAACACGCGCCGCTGGGTATGGGAGGGTAGTCGAGGCAAGACGAGGCGCTCGAGGTCAACGTGTTTCACACCTCCGCTGTTCTGTCTGCTTGTTCGAGAAGCGTGCAGTGGCAGCTGGCCTTGGACTTGCTGCAATGCCACGAAGTTGTCAACGAAGTCGGACTCTCTGCATCACTTGGCGACTGCAGCATGCGGAAGTGCGCATCAATCTTTCATGTGTTCCAAGGATTCAACGCCTTTCTTGACTCCTGCGAAAAGGCCGGGCGCACGGACCTAGCCTTCAAGATGTTTGCAACGATGTCAGAGCGGTCCCTGCAGCCAGATGTCATAAGCTGCAACACGGCCCTGCGTGCAGCGAGCTCCTCCCAACACTGGCAGCAGGGACTCGCCTTCCTCGATGGAGCTGAGGTCGACGTGATCAGTTACACCTCATGTATGAGCTGTTGCCAGGGGGACTTGTGGCAGGTTGCACTGGCTTTTTGGGATCTGATCCAAATCGCGCACTTCGAGCCCAGCTCCCGGGCTTTCAATTCGGCCATCCATGCAGTTCGTGCAGAGTGGACAGTGGCTCACCAGATTTTCCAAGAAATGCTGGCATCAGGGACGTCGGCGGATCCGTACACCTTGAGCTCGTTAGTTCACACATCTTGGGAACTGGCTTTCAACATCAGAAGCATTGGACTTGCCCGGATCGACGGGGCTGCATGCAACGCACTTCTGGACAGCGGGCCTTGGACTGTGGGCTTGGAGATTTTGCAGGACATGAAGCTAGAGAGGATCTATGTGGGGTGTGTCGGCTACACAGCCTTGGGACGAGCAATTGGATCTCTTCGCTGGAGCCAGGGGGAAGCCCTCTTGTCGCAGATGCGCCGAATGGAGGCGCGACCGTTTTGATGAAGCCAGTGGCCCCGCGGTCTTCTGCAGCGACCCTCTAAAAGCTTGACTGGCTTCGGTAAAGTCCTTAGGTGCAGGCGGACAGCTTCTCCACAAACTTGGCGATTGGCCTTTCCGAAGAGGGTGACTGGCAATCGGCTTGCTCGGCATTGCGGGATGTGTCGGGAACTTCGCTGGTCTGCGGCTGAGCTACGCATTGCAACGCTCGTTCCACTGCCTTCGACGAGCCGCTCCAAGGCGCCAGATGAAATTGGCCGCTCGACCCAAACAGTTGCAGTTGTCGCGGAATCGCAGAAGCACGGCAACGGCTGCACGAAGGTGTCAGCACGGCTCTCAGCACATGCGAGCAGTCGTCACAGTGGCGCTGGGCAGCACGGCTGTTCGCGCACACCGAAGCTGTGCAGAAGGCAGCGGGTGTACCGTGTCTTGTCATGACTTCTTCGCCCTTCGTGTTAGCTCTCGCCAGATTGGCTCCAGAGTGGTTGCCATGAATGCGGCCCTCGGTGCTTTCGCAAAGAGCCTTCAGTGGGGCTGGGCAATGCGCTTTCTACACCAGATGCTTGAAGGCCGCACGATGCCTGGAGTTTCGCAAACGGCATAATGTGCTGGTGGTGCAGGCACTACGCAGCCCAATGTCGTATCACTCTCGACCTCCATCAGCGCCTGTGTTGCTTGGCAAACGCAAGAGCTAGAGCTGCCTTTAGCATCTCGCCACATCATGGGCGTCATTCAAAGCATCATGTTTGCGTGCTGTACTGCGCCTGTTCTGGCTGGAGGAGAAAATTGGCTACTGGAGAGTCGCCCTCTTCATCTTCACGGCTTTCAGAAGCGCGCAGCTCAAGGACAGAATTGCTTGAAGTTTCTCAGTCTGTTCGCACTGCCTGCTACCGGAAGGACCCTGGTGCTGTCTTCGGCTTCTTGGAGCTGAGAACCACGGAATGGCAAGCGGAAGATCTGCGTGCGATTATATGACCAAGGCTGCAGCGCTGCGATCAGTGCCTGCGAGAAGGGTCGGCAGTGGCCCAAATTGATCTGCCCTCGCCCTTCATTCTCACACCGACCCTCATTCTTACCTTCACTCTGATCCTCACTCTCTTTCATCGTCACTGACCTGACCCCTCTCACGCTCATCCTCTGAGGCAGTGGCGGCTTGCTCTGTCTACACTGAGCCGTTCGCGGCACAATCGGGTGAGCAGACTGCAAGATACCCACACGGGGTCTTGGATGGTCTTGGGATGTCTTGGGTCGTTGAGCATAGGGGGATGCATGGTGCATTGGCCAGGTGCTGCTAAGCGAGATATCCTTCTCTGCTGCCATCAGCGCATGTGAAAAAGGCCACGAGTGGAGGCACCCTTCGAAGCTGCGGAAGCCGCCAGCTTCGACTCCCCTAAAGTGGAGGTTCTCCCTGCTGCTGCTCGATGCCCTCGCACCTGCGAACCTCCAAATGGGCGGCGTTAGTTTCGATGCGGCCATTAGCGCCTGCCAGAAAGGCCACGAGCCCACGGCACGGAGCGTTTCTAGCTGTGCCCTGCAAGCCTGCAGGCGAAGCTGCATCGCATGGAACAAGTGGGCACAGTCTGGGTGCTGCTCTCACAGCCTGTGAGAGAAGTGGGAATTGGGATGTGGCTTTGGATGCCTGGCAGAGGCCAGTTTTCCAGACGGCTTCAGCAACACGTTCACATAATGAAGCTACCACCGGCATGCTCGAGGGCTCCTGTGCATAGACAATCTGGGGGTCATTCTCTTGCATTCAAGGTTTGCCCTGTTGCAGGATGCAGAGCCAGTGCTTGTCGTTGGATGAGACAAGCATCAGTGCAATTGTCAATTCGTGTCGCAATGGTGGTCGCTGGCAGCTGGCGTTGCAGATCACCAGCTCAGGTGGCCTCTTGTCAAGTGTGCATCGGACCGTGAAAATACAACGACATCCTGCAGACTTTCCTGCTACCGCTACCTTCGCAGGCAGTATGCCCGCGCACTTGCGATCAGCGGGTGTGGGCGCCTGCGAAGCATCGGATGTGCCGGCAGAGGGTCTTGGTGTCGGCGTCATGCTGAAAATGAGTCGTTTGTGTCCACTCCTGGTTCGCATACACAGTGCGAGCAATCGAAGCCCCCTCCATAGGACTGAGGCCCAGCGTTGCTGTAGGGCTTGGACCTCCACGAAACATCACATTTGTGCGTTCCGGCCGGACAAACAGCATCAAGTGTGTTTGCACTGAACCTACAGCACTCGGTCTACATGTCTGCTCTGCACCCTTTCTGGAGCTTTCACCTGCACCCTGCCCCATGCCGTCTACGAAACGCCGGAGCTTGTCTCAGCCATGCGAAGCCGAAGCCGCCAGCTACCTTCGAGCCACTTGGCGAAGACAAGAGTCGCACCAGCAAAACCAGAATAACAGACGACTTGGCATGTGCCAGTAAGGTGCAGATCTTACACCACTTCTCAGGGTGAAGGAGACGCTTGGACGGGCGCCTGGCATCGAGGAGGCCGTGCAAGAATGGAGGAGGATGCGAGTTGCAGACTTCCGGCCCAGTTGCCAAGCCGGCTTAGCTCCTTGATATCGCAGTGAACAGGAGTCCGTGGCTGGGAACGGGATTCCTTGGCGACGTTGCAAAGAAGAAGGGGCCGGAGGCGGGATAGGTTCTCGGAGAGCTGCAATGAAGCTAGTGCAGTTCTGAAGCTGAGGCTGCCCTGGGAGTCTTGGAGTATCTGTCTTCACGAGAGGTGGAGGTCAACACCTTTCATTACAACTCTGTCATCTCGGCGAGCGGGAGGGACTGGGAGTTGGCGCTGCAGCTGCTGGAGCAGATGAAAGACGGGAGGGTGTCGCCAAGTGAAGTCAGCTACGGTGCCGCAATCAAGGCCTGCAGCAAAGGCAGACAGTGGCAGCATGCGCTCGGATTATTGTTTGCAATGGGACTCGAACCCAATGTGGTGGTGTATACTGCTGCGATCAGCTCATTAGAGACGAGAGCACAATGGGAAATTGCCGTTGCACTGCTTGAGCTCATGTCCATGCAGTCCCTCCGTGCGGACGTGACCTGCCTCAGCGCAGCCATGCGGACGGCCAAGATGAACTGGGAGATTTCTTTGCAGCTTTTCGAGAGCATCATTGACAAGGAACTGGCACCGGACCTTATCAGTTTCAACACCCTGATCAGCTCGTGCGAAGAGCAGGGCCTTTGGAAGGAATCATTGAAGATCCTGAACTCTGCATCAGAATTCACTTTGCATCCTAACGCGGTGAGCTACAATGCTGCAGTGGCCGTTCAACGATCTGTGGCGGCCTCAGAACGTCCAAAGAAGGTCAGAAAGTGGGCGAAAGTGCCACATCTAGTTTTACCTTGCAAACCACGCTGGTCTTCCGTAAGGGCCGAGTGCCTAAAGACTATCTCTTTGGATGGACATGGCCACTGCTGGCTGCTAGCCACCGGCCGTGTAGTCATTTCATCGCATCGGTGACACAAGCAGTCGTCGTGTACGGCAGGGTGAGGCTGAGAGGGCATCTAGAGAGATGCTCAACATATACGTACTCGTAATTAATTTGAGGGTTGGAACAAAGTCACAGCAACTTCGGCACGCTTAGTCCAATTCTTGTCCGAACGAGCATTGTAACCGCAGCGCGGGCTTCACCGGACGCTGGTTATACACTGACGTGTTCACTGTAGTTTGGAGACCTCTATTGCCCCGTGTCCTTACTGGGACTAAGATGTGCAGTCAACCCAATCCCAAGAGACCTTCCCTGTGGTCGAGGCAGGAGAGTGGGAGGTAGCGCTCAGTCTGCTGGACCAGATGCGATCAAGTGGCCTTCTGCCGGGCCTCATCACTTACAACGCCTGCATCAGCTCTTGCCAAAAGAGTGCCATGTGGGAGGTGGCCCTGCGCCTTTTCGAGGAAGCCAAACGCGTCGGGCTGCAGGCTGACGTCATTAGCTTTACTGCCGTGATCAGCGTGTTTGGGCAGGTCCGCCAGACTTGGCAGCTGTCACTACAACTCCTGCGGGACATGGATGGATTTTCTGTTGCGCCAAACGCCCTCACATATGGCGCATGCATCGCTGCAGTAGCACGGGCTGAACAGTGGCAGACAGCCTTAGCATTGCTGGTCAAGGCTTGTGGCGAGAAAGCGGCCCCAGTAGCAACCTTCAATGCCGCCTTGAGTGCCACTGAAAAGGGGGAACAATGGCAGAAGGCTTTGCAGCTCCTCGAGTGGATGGACGTCTTGTCAGTGATACCGGATGACATCAGCTGGAACTCTTGCATCAGTGCTTGCGAGAAGTGTGGACAGTGGCAGACAGCTCTGACCATGCTTGACGCCATGACGCACAGAAATCGCCATCCCGACGAGATCACGTTCAATGCAGCGATCAGTGCTTGCGAGAAAGGTGCGGGCGGCCCCTCCTTGCTAGTTTATGCGACTCTCTAACCGCACCTCAGAAGCTGCTAGCCTTAATTGCATAGATAGGAAGGAGTAGCAGGCACTGCATCTGCAAAGCATCGGGTGCACGCGCAAACCCAATTACTCTCCTCGTTGGACTTGTCAGGGCTGGGTGTCCCTCTCCGACTGATAAGTCAAAGATCCCACTTCGCAAGACAGAGCCTGAAAATTCAGTTCAGTGTCCCAGCGTTCGTTCTTAAAGTACCAACTTCTTCTCCCGGGCAGTGACGGTCCCAGATTCTGATCCCCAAAAGGTGGTCAGTGGGAGATGGCAATGGCGCTGTTGAGTGCTATGCCAGATGCATGGCTCCCAAAAGCATTGTTGTCGCAGGTTCGGGCTACATCGAAGTGTCGAAGTATTACGATGTCTTTTGCTTTTGATTTTGTTCGGGACGAGGAAAAGCGAGTTGCCCCTGGGGTCGTCAGCATCAATGCCGCCATGGGCGCTTGTGGGGCGCGATGGCAGATGGCATTGCTTCTACTCTTCGGCATGCCGTCCTTCAAGGCCCACAGCTGACCCAAACCCGTCGCTGCACAAACTCCGCAAGCCAAACGAGGCTCAGGCATCTGTGGTCAGCTTCAGCACGGCGATGAGCGCCTGCGAGCGTGCAGGTCGAGCTGCAGCTGCCATGCATGCCTTTGCCATTCATGTTTCCTTGTCTCGCTAACGTGGCACAGGCGAATGGGAGCTGGTGTTGAGCCTGCTGAGCTCCCACCAGCCCATGGCCATGGCAGATCCGGTCTGCGTCAGTACAGCGATTACAGCCTGTGGAAAGGCCAATCAATGGCCTTTAGGCCTCTTTCTTCTAAGGTCAATCGCAACTTGCCCATCATGAACCATCATGATTCACGCTTGCTCTCGAAGCGCTTGCGCTTTCTAGCAGAGGCAGAACCTGACAGCGTCTGCATCTTGGCGGCACGAGTCGAGAGAAAGCTCGGAAAGCGCCGGCCTTTCAGAGTGCCGCGACTGAGATCCGAGAGCAGTAGCCGAAGGCTTCAATGCGGCCATCAGCGCCTGCGCAGCCGATCCTTACCAGTGGCACTTGACCTTGGACCTGTTGCAGAGCACCTTGCCTTCAAGTCCACCGTTCGGCCGTGAACTCGCGGCCTTAGCCTCAGCACATCTCAGCATGCATGCTAGGTATGAAGGAGCGAGGAATGCCTCTCAGCGAGATTACGTTCAGCGCCTCTCAGCGAAGCAATATAATGGCTGCGAGCGTGTTTCAAGTTCTCGTTTGCAACACTCGTTATCTCCAGAGCCCTGAACCCAGGCCATCATCAGTGGCTTGACACACTGGGCCCTCGCCGTGCAAATATTGGAGGAGATGCTGCAACAGAAGGCGCCCTGAAGTCCGGCTTGATCGCAGGAAATGTGTGTGTGTGTGTGTGTCTTCTTTGTGTGTTGGCAGATCTTTGCGAACGACATCACTTACAGCTGCGTGATCAACGTGTGCACCAAGGTGCAGCAGGGATTGAGAGTGAGAGAGTGAGAGAGCCAGAAAGCTGCATGTTTCGTGTTTTTTGGAGGCGACTCAATGGGCTCCAGCTCTCGAGTTGCTTCGGTTCTTTTCCACCCGGAGCCCAGGCCGAAAAGGCAAAGCGGAACGTCCCCTTTCTTTCGTTTTGCCCGGCTCCACTCCGTCTTCGGCTGTTTTTCAGGCTGCTTCCCCCGTTGCGTTGGCCCAAATAAGGACCACGCCTAATCTCATCGCGTACACTGGTGCCATATGTGCATGTGACCCCTGGTTGCGATGGGTTGGGCTTGTCTCTCGGGGTATTTCGGAGTGCAAGCAACACAGAGTTAGGAGTGATTGATTCGCCCAGCATTCGAAGCATCGGAATTAGAAAGGGAACACGGCCGTCGCCACGTCAGGAGGAGAGTTGCCAGTGGCGGGCGACATTGGATATCTTGCAGCAGATGTCTGAAAGACGCATCGCTCCGAATTTGCCAAGTGCCACAGCTGCAAGAATCCTAACGGCCCTAAAGCGTTTTGTCCAGTTGGCTCATTGTTCTTCTTTGCAGCTGGAGGCCTTAGCATGACGACTGAAGCTCTGTGGAAGAGCAGTCAGATGCAGATGGCCGGGCAACTTGCAGGCCATGGCTGTCCATGGCTAGAAGTTGTCTTGCCGCGTCTCCATGTGTTTGTTGATTCTTGCAAGGCCGAATCTCACAGGAGACACTACTCTTCTTCATGTCCCTGAGAAGAATCGCCGAAGACGAAGCTGCCGCACAAAGGGCAACATCTTTGAGTGGGGGATGAGCCCCAGCAACAAGACAATGTACGTTCTGGGTATCATTGACGATGTCGAACTCTGGTAAGGCTTCCCAGAACTCTGTATCAAGGAGGCGGATCGATAGCATATTCCAAGCTAGGATGCCCTGAAGATTCTGCAGTGGGCCGTGGAGAAGCGTGGTGGATTGGACATGGAGGAGTCGAGGGCTTCATCAAATCTTGCGTGAGGCCAGTGGAGCAGAAGGGGCTTTGTGGAAGCCCTCATAGAGGCACAGCGCTGCATCCTTCAAGCTGGAGAGTGTCCCGCTGTGGGTAAGATTTTTCGCACCGCCAGGACTGGTGCAGACAATTGCAGACGAAGGATATAATGAAGGCAAAAGAAGCGGTCTTTATAGACCGAGTCTGCTGACCCCAGCCCCAGCCCCACCGAACACTCGATCAACATATGCCTGCACGTCTCTGCAGGATTGGCTCCATGGTAGTGTCGCAATCACACGGTGCGGGCCCCTTTAGGAGGAAGGCTGCGCCCCTGGCAATGGCTGAGAGACCGCATGGATGCGGTCTCCCTCGCAGGTGCAGCTTAGTTTTTTGCGATTCTGTGCTCCCTGCGAACGAAGCTCTCTGCGAAGCTCAACACGCAGTTTGCTTTAGCTTTGGCCCTGAGCCAGGCGAGGCAAAGGAGTCAAAGGAGTGATGCCGAGGCCAGGCCTTCGAGGGGCGGCGGTTTTTGTGTCTTTTTCGCCGTTTTGCGCAGGACCCCAAGCCCCGGCGAGCGGCCCGAGCGGCTACGGCCTTCCTTGCCACTATTCAGGATGGGGAGGCGCTCGAAATTGACTTTCAAGAGGCACAGCAGATGAAATCGAAGATTCGAGCCTTTGACTGCGTGCTTCTTCCACTGCCCTTGGCAACGTGGTCAATCTTGGCGCTTTCTGCGAGCTTGACCTTGCAAAGGTTGCCCCATGAAGCCTGCGCAGGTCGCGCTTGGCGCGTTCCGATGTTTGCTGGAAGGCGGGATGATCAATTGCAGGTGGCACCGGTACAGTCGTCTTTGGGTGCAGGGAGGCTCGAAGCCAACGCTTTTCACTACAACTCCGTGATCTCTGCCTGCGCGCCGCATGGCAGCGATTGCCGGTATACTGCCGCCATGGCAGGCACAGTCTGGCCTAAGCTGAGGAAGTCGGAGCGCTGGCAGCTGGGAGCGGAGATCTTTCGAGAGGCGCAGAGAGAGGCGCAAGGGGCCGCTCCAGAGAGGCGCGCTTTCGCTTTCGCTTTCGCCGAGAGGTGGCGGTGACTTCCTCGAGCTACGGCGTGGCGGTCGCTTTGTGCGCGTCTGCGTCTTCGCTCTGGCCGACTGTGTTTCACTTGATGCGTGCCATGGCAAACAAGGGTACTCGAAAACTCGAAAGGGTTCCTGCGAAGTGCTTGCCGATGCGTTCACTTACAGGTGGGCTGCGAGGAGTCAGCCTACAATTAGATCAAATCTGCCCCTCAGCTTTGTTGAATTGGATAGGGGCAGATGGGATATGAGCCAACCGCATACTCGGCGTGCCACACAGTTCGCACTGCAGGCTTGAATGCTGCGATGCATGCTTGCACGGAAGCCGGGCAATGGCAATCGTCCATGCACTTACTGAAGATCCGTGGAAGCATCTAGGTCGGCCACATGTGGCTGAACGGCTGAACCGTTTGGCCTTAAGTTTCGAGGTGCATCCTCGGCAACTGCAAGCTAAGGATTTCCACACCAAACCACATTACCTTCAATTCTGCAGTCAATGTGACTTGTCACAAATCGGGAACATTGAGTCTGTCTTTAAGACTTTACCTTTATGAAGCTCAGCGCTGTCAAGTATCGGGGCGAGCAGCGCTGCGAGACGTCATGGTATTAAAGTTGTTGGCTGGACAGGGTTCATCTTTCCTGATGACTGCTTCCGGTCGTGTTGCACGCAGGCTTGCAGTTCGGCCCGGAGGTGGGAAGTCGGAGTCCGGTTCTTCAGCAGGCCATGTCAGCAACTGCAGATCGGACGGCGTATGATGACACAGTGCGCAGGATGATGGTGCTCCGATTGCTGAGCGAGAGAAGCTATGGTGGGCCGGGGAGGAAGAGAAGGCTTCTGTGTGTTGTTGCGGGGTGCTCACGTCTCAATGAGGAGCCTTGGTCGACTTATGTGGCCGCTCCACTGAGTGGCGCTTGGCTTTGCAGCTGTGCAGGACAGAACATGACAGGACTCATTGGGCTCACGAGAATTCAGTGCAGATTGCTGGCAGGAGCACTGGTGTCCAGCTACTCTGCTGCATCAGAAACATGTCGAACCAGCCACACCGGGGTCCGTGAATTTCTGCGTCACGAGGCCCAGCCCCATTACTCTGAATGCAGCGACGACGGCCTGCGGAAAGGTGCCCAGATGAGCGCCTTTCCTCTGGTAGGCCATGTCCCATCTCACAAGGCTGCGCAGTGGTTAGCAGCGCTTCAGCTGTTGCGGGCACCGGTGTCGGCCCAAGAAAAAGGTTGCTCGGCCGTTCCGTTTTGCTGGAGTCCAGTCTTGCCCGAGGACATCATCGGCTACTCAGCATGCCCTCAACGGGCGGAAAAGCACTCTCTTTTCGCGACTGCTTGGCACATGTGCGTTCACGAGGCTGCAACGCTGCAATGAGTGCCTGTGAGAAGTCGGGTCAGTGGCGGACGGCCCTGCACCTGCGCCCTCAGGCAGGGCCGGCCCGGTGTTGTGGTGTTGTGCGTCTGTGCCTCTCCTAAGTTCCTAAGTTCTCAGGATGGTGATGTGGTAAGCTTCAGTGCAGCCATTTGCCGCTGGACGAATACTCTGCGATCCAACCGTGTGCAGCGATGTAGCCCCAGCAGAGGTGCCGTGGGACAAAGTCAACTTTGGCAAGCAACGGTCGAGTTGCTGGATGGTATGTTGCAGCGGCACCTCGGCAACTTTTCGTCATTCCTGTTGCTGCAGCCACAGGATGTGGCTGTCGATCTGTGCTAGGCAAGTGAAGCCAAACTCAGCATCTTGGACAGCACACAAGCTGCATGCCAGCGTGACAGCGGGTGCCGTGCGCGCCCGCGTGGATGAGGTGATCTGTACGGCTGCCAGCTCTGCATGCAAAGGGCAGTGGCAAAAGGCCTTCTGGCTGAGGCTCGGGGCCGTGACGGGCCTCGCTACTTGCCTTAAAGAGCAGAGCGGATGCTTCAGGTCTCTGACGAAGAGCGGACCACGGGAGCGTTCGTCGCCTCTGTGCGAACTGGCTTGGAGGCAGAGCTGTGGAGAGCTAGTACGCACTTACATGCATTTGCAGCAAACTGTCCAGTGCTTCTCTCTTGACACGGTCTGCTGCCTGCCATGCCGGGCTTTCCGAGAACGTAGAAATCGAAGGTGAAAAGAGCAGGTCAAATGTAACACGAGCAGCAAGTCGCATGAGTCAAAAAGGAAGGAGGAGAGATATTCCGAGTGTTTTTTGCAGATGGCTCTGGGTTTCAGAAGATAGAGGTTCTGGAAGACAGGCTTTTGCTGGACGTCTGGCAACCCGAGCCGTTTAGAATCGGATCTCATCGTCTGGGTGCCTGCTGACCGGACGATGCCAAGCTGAATGATGCCGCGGCGTGTTAGGCCGCGCGCATGCCCCAGATCGGAA